GCCAAGGAAGTCAGCACAGAGGTCTATGAAAAACAAACTGGAGGAGAAACGGATGATGGCGTGTTCGCAGCATCAAGAAGCAAAGAAACAGAGCACACAACTAGGTGAGCGATGATTCATTTGGAATTTCTGAAAGTCACAGTGACTCTTCTTCAAATTACAAACATTTAAGGAATCTCTTCTTTGTATTCTCCTTTTGTCTCTCCTTGAGTGCGCAGACCCATTTGACTTTGTCTCTGAAGTAGTTGCTCCCTCTTGCTCTCCACATATCTTTTATTGTAAAAAAAAAAAAAAAAAGCACCCACCTCATTTTTCTATGTACTGTAAATCATTCTCTCCCCCTCTATGAACAGCTGCATTTTGGATGTCAGCCCTTCACCTTTTCAACACAGCAGTTGACAGAACATTTCCACTTCACTGTCAGAAAATGCACACACATATACTGTACAAGTTCTTATCAAAGATTTCTCTGACCTTCTGAATAACCTCAATCACTTCCCGAATCCAGGACTCAACATCAAAATTATAGTCAAACACAACACATGCCCAAGCCAAGCCACACACACACACACACACACACACACACACACACACACTCTATAATACTGTACATGCACAATGTGTTTGCATGTGCGCAAACAGGCAAATGTTAAGTAGCTCTACATTCTCGTGTGATGGTGTCACAGTGGTCCCTCAGAGTCTGTGGATAAATTGTGTTCCAAGGACAAAGACACAAACACACACACTCATGCTAAAGTGGTTCCCACAAGTTGTCTGTCAAGTATCATACTAGTCGATTATCTACACTTTCATGAAAAGCTGTGTCTGCAATGTGCAGCGAAAACAAGGACCATGAAAGCAGACTCAGTTAAATATGAAAACTGTAACCACTGCTTAAGCTTTCCAAACATCCCCTTACTATGAAAATGATCACAGTTTTTTCCAGGCACTTGTGAAATTTCACATTACATACACACTACATTTGCAAATGATTCCACTAAACCCCTCTTGGGTGACACTGAAGCCTCCATTGCAATTGAATAATTTTCTACACTAGAGCATAAGAAAGGCATGTATTCATATATGAAACACTGTACAGATCGAGTGAATGCAACGTGCAGTCAAAATGCAATGAGCGGGGAGATAAATCAGTCTGTGAGCAGGGCTACAGAGATCCATATTATGTGGTTACTTAGTTACAGCACATTAATAAAACTCCCAGTCACCAGTCAGGAGGAGAAACAGCTGTGTCTGCAGAAGGTCAGAAGGAAGAAGAGACCAACTCCCTAATGCTCTGTGTGGATCTATGTGTGTACTGCATGTGTGCATACTTTATCATAATACCACTGTAAGTAATGGCCACAAACACAAAAGAACACAGCCAAGGAAACGCACTCAGCAGCCCTGGCAGCTACCTAATTAGTTTGCCCGGCCCACTCAGCTGACCTCTGTACTGAAAAGCGATGCTCAGATGTTTTTCATCCGCTGAACCTTGCTGTCGTGACATTTCTATAAATCAAAGGCCTTCAGCTGGTGGTACAGATGTTTGATGGATGGGAGACGGTTTTATTTTGCTAATTTTTCTGTTGTGAGCCAAATTCTCACCCACGCAGCATTAATCGGCAAGGGGGACTATATTTCCAAGCGCACACATCCATCCACATCCCAAACGGACCGCTACCACCTGCTCTTCAGATTTCTGGGAAAAGCGCATCAGCTGCCCTAGGCTGTGAGAGGGGAGTCTGCTGTTACAGACGAGCAGGGTTACAGGGGTTAACGTACCAACAAAAGACCGATTTACAGCCACAGACAGGAACCATCTATCAGCATTGCCTGTCACCAAACAGGCCAGAGCCGCCTTGGGCCAAAGTCACCACTCAAAAAAGTGCCTTATAGGATTAAAATCGAACAGACGAGACACATCCTGGTGCATGGTAGTACCCCGCCAAAGATGGCCATCCCATTATACTGAAGTTATTGAAGATTATTTTATGCAAGACATTATCCATCTAGACCTTTCTTTCAGTTAGCTGCAGCCTATTTGACTATTTTTTAATACAACAGTTTAAAAGTCAGTGTCCCTTTGCAAAGTGCAACATATCCAATGATTCTTTGCCACTGTATGAAAAGTGTAGAAAATGGTCTTGTAGCTGAAACCTTTGTGCCTCCATTTAAAAAAAAGAGATCTCAAAATGGCTAGCAGAAAAATGTGTTTGTAATCTGGACTCTACAAGATCAACAGCTATAGTTCGAGCCAGAAGAGGAGAGGATGATTGGCTTCTTTAAAACAGAGGATGGAAGCGTCAGTGGCAGCAGTCAGAGATCGTGGCAGTGCGAAAGACTGACAGAGGAGAGTTAAATAGAGGTTTTCCATTGTAGGAACCTATGAAACCATGTTGAGCTGAGTAACGCCCGTCACAGGTGCTGTGTTCATTTCCACTGCCCTCCGCCTGCGTTGGAGGTGCGTTCTGGGAGCAAAATTTCAGCGCCCGTCAGGAGGTAGTACAAAAGTCAAGTTCCAGGAACACATGGTGGGAGGAGATGGGTGCACACAGAGCTGTCGCCCATGATTGGTTAAATGTCTGTGTCTTCACACCTAAACTATTAGCATTACAAGCACCGTGCAAACACACTCTGGGAATTCAGTGAGTGGACTGCGTCCACAAGTTAATGTTCTGCATGTTTAACAGCTGTTTGATAAACTGCTCTGTCTCTGTTACTGGCCGATTGCTGCACTATGAAGTGATCCCTCACTTCCTCTGTTCTTCCTCTACTCAGCTGTGTGTGTGTGAGAGGAGCGCAGCCCCTCCCTCCTCTAAACAAAGGCTGACAGAAAACACAGTGGAAAAACAAAGCAGGGCGATCCGCGTCAATCCGTGAGGTTATGCTGGGTGAAGGTTAAGGGAAGCACGGGGAGTACTGCTTGCTATGTTCCAACAGTGGAAACGTAGCTGACAGTGGGTGGTTGTGTGTGCATGCTGACTGTACTCTACAACAAAGTAATATGAGTCCACTGTCCCAGAGGGGACAGATCACCTATAGACGCCCCTCAAACATCACACTCTCCCATCTTCCCACCTCTACTTTCACACATGCACTCCACCCACACACATCCAAACACCTGCATTCACCTACAAAGAAGCTTAAAAATATCAAATTCGTGGAAGCCACACAGGTTCAGTCACCCACTCCTGCATGAACATTTGCAGTTATGCACACACACACACACACCCACACACACCATTCCAAGGAGTTGCGTGCCCTATTAATACCACACTTCAAGGACTAAAGCATTGGGCATGGAGCCATAAGAAGCTATCTGGTGACTGATACACACTTGTGTCTCCCTTTCCGTCTTCAGGGTACTGCCTTTCACTCTGCCTGCCAAGCTGAAAGGTTAGAATGGTTACATTCCCATAGTGACACCAAGTTGGCCCTAACAAGCCTGTGGCAGATCTAATATGTTTGTGTATTCATTTAAGAGGAACAGGGGCAGTATGCTCCACATGAAAGAGAAACACACATTTCAATTAATAATAATGTGTCCCTTAAAAACCTAGTAATCATCTGTGAATTTATTTGTGATGCTTAGAAATTTTGTTTTTTTTGCGTTGCAAAGTGGAAGAATATACTCATGCAACAAAAGCTAACTTCAGTTGTAATTTTTCTGACAAATTTTAAAAAATGTAGAATTATATTGACAAAGCTGATAACAAAACCTAAATGAATTATGAACATGTGGTATTAAATCATTACTGGTAGATGCAGGTGCCCTGCCCATACACTGTCGCTTATTTTAGCTTTACTGAGCTTTACAGCTGTCTGCTCAAGTGAGGCTTTATTATTAATAATCATAAATCACTTCCACCACATTGGTGCATTTATTTTAAACTATCAGTCATGCCAACAGATACTATGTTTTGGAGACAAGACAAAAGCAGCTGTTATTATTTTGCAGGTGCAGATATGAGTCTGTGATTAACGGCTTCATTCCAGGATCGACTGATAACAGTTCAATCCCAAGACTCATTAAGAAATCACTATTTCTTTATCTTGCATCTGCTTTATAATTGAACACTAAAGCTGAATTAAACATTAAAGGTGCATCCATATTTGTCCAGCCAGTCTACTTATAATTCTACACATTTTTGTTATTGTAGAAGTAACAAAAGTGGGAGTTATGTGGACTAGGGATTAGAGAAGTTAAGACTCATAGGGAGGTTTGATCTCAGGCGAGCCAAGGCACATGTCCTTCCTGTGGTAGGTCTCTTAAAGGATAAGGCTAGTCATTTTATATATTAATAGTATTTTCAGCAATTTCCATACAGAGACTAAAACCAACAATGAATTACCTCTACTCAAGGTTAACATCTATCAGTCCTGGATCAGCTTGTTCGTCTGTGCAATATATCTCCATTGTTGGTCAAAAACGATTAAAAACACATCTGGGAAACTCACTGCTGTACTGGGTGACATAGTTTTTCATTATGAAACCTCAGACCCGACTACGTTGCTCCAAAGGCTCCGAGCGGCCATAATTTCCTGAGATTGACACGAGTCAGTCATTTGTGCATGGGTAAGAATTTGCATGAGCTCTCAGCTTTGTTTACATCCTGCTAGCTCCTCACGCTCAGCTCTGGGGTTTGCTAATGAAGAAACATCACCCAGTCTAGCAGTCTGTTCACTGATGTGTTTTTAATCATTTTTGAAAAATAACAGTGGTTGGTAGCACAGATGAATAAGCTGATCCAGGACTGACAGATATTAACCATGAGTCGAAGAAAAATCTCACCGAATCTTTTCTGTTGACAAGAGCATGCAAATAGAATCATATGAATGTTGTGTTGGAAGAAACCATGTGGCATAGATAATTAAAAAGCCCTGACTTTTTATGCTTGGCCTGCAGCAGTGACAATGTTTATCGCTATATCATGTATCAGTGACATATACATCTGAAATTCCTTAAGCCCTCCTCAACCGCCTACATCTCTTGTACTAACCTGAATATTGGCAGCCTGGCTTCTTGGTTTCCCATTGCTGTAAATTGTTGTTGTGGTCAGAAAGTGGTTCGTGCAGTAGGATTTGGCCAGAAAACACACTCCCTGTGGGTTTATAAAAACCAGCACTGAAGCGTTGAAACATTTTATTTTGAAAATTCAGAAATGCATGTAAAAGTTTAGTACCACACTCCACACCAGCATTACTCATGTCTTTGAAAACATACACTAAACATCTGTGACCCATAAATGTAGCTACAAACAGATTTAAAACCTACTATTCCTGCTTCTTTGCTTACCAGCCAAATGTCAGTTCAGCCAAGTCAGTTTTACTGGGAAGCCTGTTTGATTATTAACTTGGTGGTTTTACAGCTTAAAAAGTAACTGTGCTCATTATCCACTCATTGTGACAGTCATTAGTCTGTCAACTCCGACACGTTGTCCGCTCACCCCTGCTATTCACACTCAACCGTGAAAGTAAACAGAGGGGACCGAGTGTGCTGGTGGCTCGGACTGATAATGTGCTGCTGCAGCTTCTTACCTCACACTCCCTTTCAATCTGCTTTCCGGGCTCATCTTCTCTGTATCTCCTGTTAAAATAAAAGTAATAGAATTAAATGATTTAATTCATTAAGTGGTGCAACTGTGACGCTAGGTATTTCTTCTCTTTTGTCCCAAATGTTCACAAGTCAATAAATAAAACTTTGATTTGGTGCCATGTTTCTCCATTCCAGGTTCCCCTCCATTCACTTCTTTCTTTTGCATACACACACACACACACACACACACACACAGACACACACACACACACACAGACACACAGACCACGCCCTTGATAGCCATCAGCTCCAGGCTATGCTATTGTTTCAGCTCAGTGCTAATTACTTCAGGTCTTGACCTGAGGTTCAGCCAAAGAGCAGCACAGGGGGATGGGTGTGTGTGTGAATGTGTGTAGCAGAAAGAGAGATGTAGGCCTTTGCGCTGGGGGTTGGGGATGGGGTCGGTGTGGTGGAGAGGTCATTGCTGCTGCCTGTCAGCTACCACACACTGCACCACAGAATAATCAATGAAGGAGAACACAGCAGCACATCGAGACCAGCCAAACAGGCTGCTGATGTTTGCATGACTTAAGAATTTATGACTGTCTTGTCAATAGCAACGCCCACATAAAACCTAGAAGAAAACCATGTCAGGTTAAGAAATAAGAGCAAAGGAAAGAAGGGATGATGCACAAAGCTTGTTCATTTTCATGTCTATTTCTACAGTGCCTGTTTTCATTTCAGGAGAATTATTATGTCATACATTATGTTTACATGGGGATGTTCTTGCCTGCCTCTAATTCCATCTGTTTTTTAAAGGGTGTCTCTGCTGAAGAAGATAAATTAGGTTTGAGATTAAAGAAGGGCACATATTGTTGGGTCTGTCGTCATTCTTCACTTTGTGTGTGAGAAAAAGTGCCTGTGTTTCTGGGTCATGTGTGGAATGTCATGACCAAATCTGTTATCTCACCAAAACCTATCAATCCAAAGTTATCTGACCCAAAGCAAAAAACCAGATGTAAGTAAATAATGGTTGGTCTTTGGACATAAGAAGATAAATAGCTTAGTTTCAGAGGTCTCACTCAAATGATGCCTTTAGTTTGAATCACATGTCAAGTACAGATTGCTAGGATAAGAATTTGCTTATTACATACCCCAACATCTGTTTTGTTTCATTAAAACTCTGGGTGAAGTAACATAAGAGTACGGGTTCTGACATTTGTAATTTGAAAAGGTTCCCAGAGAGCTTAAGTTGAGTTTGACTATACCTGGCAGAGGCTTTAACAGTCTCACAATTGAACAAATCACTCAGAAGAAAATGCCAACCAAAACCTCGAGTTTTCCTCCTCCTCCAGAATATTTGCAAATCCAAGCACTTTCTCACCCAAGTCCAAATTTACAACGCAGAAGAGCCAAAACAACGCTCTTCACAGCTAGTTTCATGCTGTAAAAGGGAAACCTTCTCCTGGGGTGCTACTTGCAAACAAAACCTATCCAGTATGTGCATTCATTGCAATGCAAAACAGATTTCCAGTGCTTCAGCATCACTTAAGGCCCTACTTTCAATTACAATGTCATGAGCACTTAGAGCTGAAGGGCTTTTAGAGAAGGGGAGTGGAACCTGTGGTGAAGTTCCAGACAGCCTTAAAAGACCATTAAGAACTTTAAAAATAAAATGCACACAGAAAGAAAGAGGAAGAGATCAACATGTTTTTTCTATAAATACAGCCAATAAACATCCATAAGATATATGTAGGCCACATCAGCCAGTATACATAGTGGTTCTGGATGTTGTCAGAATTAGATGAGAAATGCTCACTGACTTTCTTTGCAGGACAAGAGGAGAGGGGA